GTACAGATGTCTGTGCTGTGGCAAACCAGCATTGGAGCAGTGAGAGCACAGCTGAGGCAGAGCAGTGCAAACACTGCAGGGCAGGGTTTTGCAACTCCAGAATTAGCCTGTTAGTATTTTTCTTTTCTCAGAGATAGTAGAAGAAAAAAAGTCTTGTTTACTTATTTCTGGCTGGAAATTTTATTGTAGCTTGTGCCAAACTGAAAGGATGCATGTTATGTTTCCCTCATAGTAATGACATTACAAACCAACTATTTCTAAAAAATACTAGTCCCATGAAATCAGAGATGCTGTAGTTTATTCTAAGAGGGTGGGGGGTGCTGGACTGGGAGTAGGTATTTGCTTGGTAACTGTCTTCAAATGAAATGCAGTTTTCCTGTGCTCTGCTTTCTCAACTCTGTTCTTAATGTAGTATTGAAGAGCAAAGAAAAACATCCCTTTAGCAAAAAAAATAAAAATCACAGAATGAGTATCTATATATTATTCCTCTGCAATTAATAATTAAAATTGATAGGCTGTGGGTATTTTTTTGTCTGGCCCAGTGGTCAGTGATGGTCCTGTATGTACAGTTCACGTCCTCAGCTAGAGCTGCTGTTTGATCCACCATTCTTCTTCTCTCTGCCCACCTGGGACTTGCAGCTACCAATGGGATAGTTTGCAGGAATAATTAAGGCATCTCTTTCCCTGGCTGTGGAGGGAAGGACAGTGGATGGACTGGCATCAGCTTGGCAGCAGCTCCTTGACTACATTTCTCCTTCCTTGCTTGCTGCCTTTGCATTGGCTTTTTCTCTTGCTGAATGTGAGTGAATGTTTTCCCATTAAATAAACAATAAATTCTGTGCTAAGTGAGAATGAATCCAGGCTGTTGAGTTTGGTGCTGAACTCTTGTTTAGAATTGTTTATAAATGTTTCAGCACTCTGTGTTGTCAAAATCCATCCACAGTGCAGACACATGTGCACGAGCCACGCTCAGGATGCCTCTGGGATTTGAGATACCATGTCAGAGCACATGGCTCTGACACATCTTGCCTTGGTGGTCTTCATTGAAGAGTTTACATTCCCAGCCCCTCCTCTCCCCCCATCCCACTTCCTGAATCTGATCACTCAGTCAGTTAATCTTTTATCAGTTAGAGGGCAACTGATGGTTGCAAAATTGATCCATTTGCGTCCTTGGCTCTGGCAAGGGCAGAATTTCTGCTCAGGGCCTCTCTTGGAATAGCTCTATCCCATGATTTGGCATCCCATGTGAAGTGTGGGAGATGCAGGTTGTAAGTCCTTGCTCTGTCTGTGTTGGGGCAGGACATGGGACACTGGTCTCTCACGTCCCCGGGAGTGTGGGTGTTAAGCTTGGGGTTGGTCTCTTTCCTCCCTTCACACAATGTCCGTTTGGTTTTGGTAATTTAGAAGAAGACACATTGATGGACTTCATAGCCCTCTGCTACAGTTGCCTGGGAGATGGAGATTCGAATCTGGGGATGAAGTGGGAAAAGCAGATGGTTCTTCAATGATTTTTAGGTTTCTTTCTGTTTTTCAGATGACTTAGAGTTTGATCTGATGTGGAACTTGAATGCTCACATCAGCTTTTGTTTTTGCCCTAAATGGTGAAACATTTTTCTGCTTCCATCTGTCCCTCCTGGTTTTAACCTGGATTTCTGACGTAACATTTTGGGATGATTTTTGAATTTCTGGGCTTTGGCTGATAAGTAGCCATGAAATTCAGACTGATACGCTGTGTTAAATCAGTTGTTGCTTCTAGCCTAAATTTAATTAATCTCCTGGCCAGCAGGGATCTTTTATGAAGGCTGTCTATAGTGTCATTTAAGATAAGTTGATTAATATTTAATCTCTTAATAATAACAAAAGTTAGAACATCTTTAATGTTTGTATACACATTTTACTTTTGTTGGGAAAAAGTGTGTTTTAACAAACATTAGATGACTGAAGATCACTCCATCTCACAAGATAACTATGCACTCAGTAAAAGCAGAAATAAAGGTTTCCTGTACAGAAAGAAGCTATTTCAGCAAACCTGAGTAAAATCTGAATGTGAAAACTCCTTCAGCTTTTCCAGGAGAATGTGGCTCTAGGTGTCTCCAAAAAATTCCTTTGGGTGCTGGAGCTCCTGTGAAATTCTGCCTTTGTGTGTATTTTCAGTCCAGTTACAAAGTCCCTCATTATCCTGGACTAGGAATTTTAAAGGCATTGCACTACATAACTCTTAAACTCTTTGTCCCCAAGCATTTGGGATTATCTACAACAGTCTCAAAAAATTGTTCTGTGGAGGTATAGTTGTAAAACAACCCAAAAGAGAGAGCTGAAGGAAAGGGACTCCAGAAGTGCCCCTGGAAAGCAGCAAGACCGTGTGAGTTCCTCCAAGTGAGTTTGGAGGGTGAGTCGCAGGATGTGAACACGGCATTGGGAACGTTCCCGGCTCCTCTCCACAGTCCTTTTAATGTGGTCACAGACTCCTGACTGGGGGTGAAAATAATCTGAATTAACTTCAGTGAAACATGGAGACATTAAATTTGTTGGGAAAAAGTGCCCTGATTTTTGTCTGTACTAATTAGTGATGACACAGCACCGAGATGGCAAAAAATGAATCATTTGGATGTTCATGAAACAACATACTTTGAGTGTCACTAACATGTGGCTTTTGGGAATTCTTGAAGAAATAGAACCAGGATCCAAGGAGTATCTTTGGTGAAGCAGAATTGTTTGAAGAGGACAGTTATTCTTAATCCAGCTTCCTTTCTTAGTAATAGTAATAGAACAACTACTGTTGCTTCTTGAAGGCGGTCAGGTGTTTTAACAGCACATAATGGCTTTTATTATCAAAATAATCAGGCTGAATGACCTTT